AAAACCCAAGAATTCAACAGGAAACAAAGAATGAATCATAACCCACCTCCTGATAACTCCATAAAGATGCTAATTCCTCCATTCTTTCTGTTTCTTCCGTCTTGATTGTGGGAAAAGAAAACAAAATCTTGTGGGGGGGAGTTCAGAGAGAGAAGGGTGTGGCGTCTTTGTTGCCTCTGGCTGACCCACCATGGCAAGGCATGGTGGGAATTTGAAAAAAAAAGTATGAAGCACTAGGGAAATGATTAGCACCACAAATAAAGGGAGAGGGAGAGAGAGCACTCAATTAAACAAATATATCATGTGAGCTAACTTTAACCCTAAACCTATGGAACCTACACTCCACTATAAATAAATTGTTTAGGACCATGATGGTTAATTTCTATTTGATTTGAATTATGAAAATTATATTTTGTTGTCTTATTTCACAGTTAACATATAAAAAGAAGTAAAATTATATTATTTTTATTGGTAAACATTTTTTTGAAATATACATTTTGTTTTTTTTTTCCATTAAACTATTAATAACAAAAATAATCATATATTATTTAATATATAATTACAAATAGGGTTATATTGGTCATTATATTTTTGGTAAGCACTTACCAAAAACATTTGGTAAACATTCTTACCCAGGACAGCACTTACCGGGATAGCACTTACCCGAACAGCACTTATCCGGTAAGATTTGGTAAACAGCCCCTAAGATCTGTATTTTACTCCTTATTGTTGGATCTTCCCGTTTTTATACTTTAACGTCGACGTTTACCGAATGTTTCCTAGTTTTCATTTGGCTCCTTGTGTGCTTGCAAATGATTCTTTTTCTCGCTATAGTTTGGCATAAATTTTTTCATTTCTTTTCATTATATTTGTCACATCAATCTTCATTTATATATCTAGGGCTGTAAACGAACCGAACGAACACGAACAAAGGCTTGTTCATGTTCGTACGTTTAACTTAACCGAACAAACGAACGAACACGAATGGTATACGAATGAAAATCTTTGTATTCGTATTCGTTCGTTTAGAAAGCAGGTGTGTTCGTGTCTGTTTATGTTCGTTCATTAACATGCTAAACGAACATAAATAAATTTTAATTGAATTTAAAGTAAATAAATAAAAGATTATATATTAAATTTAATATATAAACGAACATAAACGAATGGATATAAACAAACAATAAACAAATGAAGGTTCACGAACATAAATGAACGAACGAGACTATTGTTCATTTTTGTTCGTTTAACTAAACGAACAAAAAAATATGTTCATGTTCGTTCATTTATTAAATAAACGAACTTATCGCCGAATGATTTACGAACGGTTATATATATAGAGGAGCGTTCAAATAAAAACTTGCCCCATTTGTGTAAACCGTGTAAACCAATCTCATCCATCCATTTTATTGATTAATAGTCAAGATTAGTTGACTTTATTTTAGGAAATTAATATATATATATATATATATATATTAAAAATTTATTTTATTAAATTTAACATTTGGTAACATCATTCTCGATATTAATGACACTATTTTCATTTTTAAAGCAATATTATTTTTAACTTTAAATCACATTCATCAATAAAACATATAAAAAAAAATGAATATAACACACCATATTCAATTATATGGAGTGAATCATTTTAAATTTTGAATTACATTATATGAACGAAATTGGTTTCACCATGAAAATGTTTCGGTTCACATAATTTATTTGCAACAAGACCCGGTTTCACGTTCATGAAACCTGTTTCATTTTCCTTTTCATATTTTATTTTCAAAATGCACCGGTTTAATTTTCTTTTTCATCAACAAAATGGATCAACTACACCATCAATGCAACGGTTTCACCATAAAAATGTTTTGGTTCACCTAATTTATTTGCAACATGAACCGGTTTTACGTTCATGAAACCTGTTTCATTTTTCTTTTCATAATTTTTTTCAAAATGCACCGGTTTCATTTTGCTTCTCATAAAAAAGAGGATTAACTACACCATCAATGTAACGGGTTCACCATAAAAATGTTTCGGTTCACCTAATTTCTTTGCAACGTGAACCGGTTTTACGTTCATGAAACCTGTTTCATTTTGTGGATTTTTTTTGTTCATCTACGTTTTGATGATTTCATTCTATAATTCAATTGTTTCATCAAGACACGTTTCCTGATTATAACTCATGACAATATATGAAACCCAAATTTTTAATATTTTAATATAATTAAATATTTAAATGTTACCAT